AGCATTATTTTGACTTCGATCAAGTGTTGTCTTTTTTTTTGCATAATAATATTTAACGTTTTTGTGGAGATAGATAGAGAGACAGATAGACAGATAGATAGATATATAGATATTTGTAGACAGATGTATATAACTTAATTTTTACAATTATATTGTGTAAACAGTTCTTGGTGTTTTATGCTATAAGCAATCTCAATAAAAGCAAAAATGCTAGGACCTTGTGTGACAGGTTTACAACACTGAGTCTAACCTTATTTGCAGTAACTCATAACATATACTTTGTTTCATATACTTTGAGACTTTGGTCACCTTACTTTGTGATTTACTTTCACCAAAATGAAAATTTATATCATCCAACAGAGGAGAAAATGATCTTGGAGATTGAAAAGGTAAAATATTAGCGCAGAACAAAAGAAAAATATCTCTATTACATACAGTTCTAATAATATAAGTATTGGCATTGGTTCATGGTTTTTTAAAATATTATCTTGAGTTTTAAAGTAATAGTAATGATAATGAAGGACATAATAATGATGACAATAAATCATTTTAGCTTGCCGTATAGATATTTAAAATTTGAAAATGATCAAGTATAGGTAAGAGAAATAACTTGCTAATAATAAGTAATAAGTAATATGTAGACAATTGTCATTGTTGATCAAAGACTGTCCACTATAGAAATCACTGTAACCACGGTGACTACTCCTCCAAATTAAACGGACAGTATAGACACCAAAAATCAATTAATCTTGATATAGTGAGTTGTAGGCATAGATGCCCCATTCAGCATTGCAAAGATAACAATGTAATTGTATGAAAAAGCCCTATTTATATTTTGCAACTTCCAAGCCTATTTGTGACTGTCAGAGTGTTCAGTTATTGAATCTATTTGAAATCTAGCATTAGCATGCAAAGTATGTTGATGCTGCCTGCTGTGTGTATTTAATGGGATTCAGTGCTACCCATAGAGGAGTGATTGTCACTCATGTAGTATCTCAATGCTTCTTTATGAGATGTATGTAACAAGACTAATGACTTCATCGGGGGAGGAATGTGTCGACTGTCCTGCTGCTACCATAAAGGTAAGTTAAGTGACAATTATAATGTGTTTTTTTATTTTTATTTCAATAAGTGGGAGCATTCCTTAAGAGGTGATTACTTATCCAATGCTCAAAGGGAAGGTCCCAAATAATTGACTTTAGTTATATAAGGAGAGAGTTAAGGCATGATCCAATTCCTTTCAGAATCTGGAAGATGGCAACACAAAATATCAATCTAGACCCCTCCACTTGTACAATATAAATACATTTTTTGACTTTGGATCCCCAAATGCTGAAAAAATAATAATTGTGTATAAGGTCGAGTTATATTTTTTCATCTGGATACCTTGCATCACTGTTATCACTCTTCCCTTTTATAATCTGTATTTTAATTTTTAAGTCACTTAACAGTTCAGGTTTTATGAATTACACTGTAAAGAAGATCACATGTGGGGATAATACTTTGATTTCTTTTCCTAACCTGTGGAAATCTTCAGAGAAGGGAAAGATATGGAACAGGTCAATGTTTGATCATCCGACCAAATGTACAATTGTACTTATGGTTTAACTTGTTATGATCATAGGAATTTTCAAATTTGTGAACAAAGTATATACTTTTAAAATAGAACTAAAAAAAGCCTTTATATTTGATCTTAATGGTGTAAGGGTGTAGAAACTAGTCCTAAAGTTACAGCAGCATTCTTTTGCAGGATTCTAATCCAACAATCAGCACAGCAATGTTTCCAATGAGACTTTACAAAAAACAACAAACTTGTTGGAGGCTCAGCCACTTACCTTGTTGATTTTCCTAACAATAAATTATCATCAGCCCATAAATGCATTGATGCATTAATGACAGCAATAAACTATTACTTGAAATATGTAATTAATATTTGTAAAGCCATGCATACCCCTTATGTAGCGTTTTAACTATGCAGGTACTCACCATTTTCTCTTTAAATATAATGGTGTACATCCCTGTTAGTTACGAGATGGTAGAGAAACCAAGCAGGAACATGGAATGAAGGGATATTAAAGTGATCAAACTGATCCCACTTAATATTTTAAATATGTTTCTTACTTTTTCATCATTACTGTGTACAAATTGTTTTTTGAAATTCCAAACATAAATGGTTTTTCTCTTTGTCTTGCAGGGATGTCTCCAATTGATTTTCATAATATCTCCACAGCATATTTCACCACAATTGCATTTCAAAGAGTTGCACAATAGTTATGGCAGAGCAAACATGAAAACAAAATAAACGCACAGAGCCTGAAATAGTTTACTGGTTTAAAGTTTCGCTTCTAGTAGTATGCATTTCCTGATGGGGGAAATAACTACATGAGGATCATATCGCAATCACTGGGGAAATAAACTACATTAGGATCATATCACTACTGTTTTCCAGGACACAATCTCTGGAGTTTACTCACAGGAAATGTGAAATATATCTAAATAAAATAAAAGATATAGAAAAAAATGTCAGCTGGCAGATATTAATTTTGTAGTAATACTCACCATGTGTCTCTCTGGTTGTCCACTTCCTTCCATCTGCAGGGCCTGTCGAACCACAACTCAACTCACATTGCTCTCAGTGGCTCAGTAAGCATTAAGGGGCACAGGTCAGCCCAGGAACACAGTGAGTGACAAAGTGGACATGGTTATAGAAGCAGGCTAGTATTGCAGAAAGGTGCAAAACATTTGTCTTGACTTAATCTTTTCGGATAAGCTTTTTAACTGATGTAATACTTTTAAAAACACTTTGAAAATTATATTTTCAAAATGATAATATATAATGATATATTAACAGATTTAAATATTTAAATATTAAATCATTTTAAAAGCTTATTGTGTGGATAGCCTGATCCCCTTGATTTGATTTGTGCAAGCCGCAAGCTCAGTGCGTCATTTTGTGCCACCTCTTGGGTTTTTGTCAGGTGTTTTGTACATTGCTAGAGTGAAATGTATTTTGTAGGTTAATTAAGTAAAATATTTATGTGGGGCTACCTGATGTTGGAGCTGGCAAGTCTACACTTGAATGTTATCTATTACAACAAAGGGCTGTGTTAATAAAATCAGCAGTTGCTCTGAAGACACAGTAGGTCCAGATATCTACCTGGTGGATCAATTGAGCCTTTTGTTGTTCAGGGTAGACTTGCACAGGGGTTGGGAGAGCTATAATAATGGATAACTTTGTAACCAGTTATTTCATGTGTGTTCCATTTTCCAAGCCCAGTTCTATATTCCCATTGTTGTAAATACTTGCCCAATATGAAACATAGAAACATAGAATTTGACGGCAGATAAGAACCATTTGGCCCATCTAGTCTGCCCAATTTTCTAAATACTTTCATTAGTCCCTGGCCTTATCTTATAGTTAGGATAGCCTTATGCCTATCCCACGCATGCTTAAACTCCTTTACTGTGTTAACCTCTACCACTTCAGCTGGAAGGCTATTCCATGCATCCACTACTCTCTCAGTAAAGTAATACTTCCTGATATTATTTTCAAACCTTTGTCCCTCTAATTTAAGACTATGTCCTCTTGTTGTGGTAGTTTTTCTTCTTTTAAATATAGTCTCCTTCTTTACTGTGTTGATTCCCTATTCTGTATTTCAATGTTTCTATTATATCCCCCTTGTCTCGTCTTTCCTCCAAGCTATACATGTTAAGATCCTTTAACCTTTCTTGGTAAGTTTTATCCTGCAATCCATGAACCAGTTTAGTAGCCCTTCTCTGAACTCTCTCTAAGGTATCAATATCCTTCTGAAGATACGGTCTCCAGCACTGCATACATTATTCCAAGTGAGGTCTTACCAGTGTTCTGTACAATGGCATGAGCACTTCCCTCTTTCTACTGCTAATACTTCACCCTATACAACCAAGCATTGTTACATATCTTAGTATTATCAGCAAAAAGACATACTTTACCATCAAGACCTTCTACAATATCACTAATAAAAATATTAAAGAGAATGGGACCAAGTACAGATCCCTGAGGTACCCCACTGGTGACAAGCCCAAGCTTCGAATATACTCCATTGACTACAACCCTCTGTTGCCTGTCACTCAGTCACTGCCTTACCCATTCAACAATATTGGAATCCAAACTTAAAGATTGCAGTTTATTGATAAGCCTTCTATGTGCAACAGTGTCAAAAGCCTTACTGAAATCTAGGTAAGCAATGTCTACTGCACCACCCTGATCTATAATTTTAGTTACCCAATCAAAAAAATCAATAAGATTAGTTTGGCATGATCTCCCTGAAGTAAACCCATGTTGTCTCTGATCTTGAAATCCATGTGTTTTTAGATGTTCAACAATCCTATCCTTTAACATGGTTTCCATCACTTTCCCTACTACTGAAGTAAGGCTTACTAGCCTATAGTTGCCCGACTCCTCCCTATTACCTTTCTTGTGAATGGGCACAACATTCGCTAACTTCCAATCTTCTGGAACTACTTCTGTTAACAATGATTGGTTAAATAAATCTGTTAATGGTTAACAGCTTTGGGTGTATTCCATAAGGTCCCATTGACTTATTTGTCTTTACTTTCCTCTGTAAACCACGTGTAATACATGACTCATTTATACTTTTTCTTAACTGAGGTCCCTTTCCTTCATTTTCATCTGTAAACACCGAACACAAATATTCATTGAGGTAGTCAGCTAGACCTTTATCCTCTTCTACATATCTTCCTTCTTTTGTTTTTAATATAACTTATCCTTGTTTTACTTTTCTTTTCTCATTTATGTATCTAAAAACAGTTTTGTCCCCCTTTTTTACTGACTGTGCTATTTTCTCTTCTGTGTGTGATTTGGAAGCTCTTATAACTTGCTTAGCTTCTTTCTGCCTAATCTTAGGTCATTCTGTCTTCCTCACTCTGGGTTTTTTTATAATTACTGAATGCTAACTTTTTGTATTTTACTATTTTGGCCGCAAGAAATAAAGCAGTAATGTCAGAAGTGGGATTCAAACCCAAGCCTCGAGAGGAGACTGTGATCTGAACGCAGCACCTTAGACCGCTCAGCCAAACTGACTGGCTTTGTTTTACTGAATGCTGTGAACTATATATGCTAGATGTTTCTGAGCTATGTTTAGTTGCCAAGAGGAAGCTGGTTGATCTCTTCCTTAATTTCTTACAGGTATATTGCTATTCATTGTCCTGTATAGAGTATTTACTAATACGAGTATTGCCAGAGAACTAGATAGATAGAATATCCTATAGTAACCAGATACCAGTGCAGTATATTCTGCATTGCCAGTGGAAACGCTATGAAAGCTGAGTCCTAGCATTTAGTGGAGCAGTTAGCAGTGCAAGTTAGGTAAAGGAAACCCACAGACAATAGCATGCCTGAACTGGTACACCTTCAGTGCCAGACGCCAGGGCTGTATCGTCACACAAAAATATTAAATTGAGGCCCTAACTAACTAACTTTTTTCATCAAAACTAAATAGAATTCAGCATACAATGTGTTGGTGCCCAGAGAGCTCTTTTAATGCATTAAAACATTTCATAGCAATTGAAATGAAAAACAAATATTGTGAGTTTTTTCAAACATGATTTATAATTATTGAGAAACAAGTTATCAAGGTGCATAATACTATAAAAAGATGACATAGTCTAAAATGTAAAATGTACAAAATAGTATTTGCTATTCTTTGCATGTATTTTTATTTTAATTTTATTGCAATATGCAATGATATGCAATGTTTTCTAAATGATATAACAGTGCATATTAAATGCACTTATACATTTTACGGGGATAGCAATGTACACTAATGGATTGATTGATAGATAGACGTACGTATAACAGTTTGTTTTTACTGATTACTTTCTCCAGCTTTCCAGCTTAGAGACCAAACTACAAGGAGTGTCTGCTGGCTACCCTGAAACAATATGTGACACTTGACCTCTTCTTGGTTTATATATATAAAAAGCAGCACACAGTAAATATGGAATTTAATTTTCCCTTTAAAAGCAAGGGAAAGTAATATAACTACAGTAATATCAAGTTACCACTGTGATATCATGTGGGTCAGGAACAGTTTGTTCTCCTGCATAAATTCCATTTTGGGATTCCAGGAATAAGAGGCTATCAGTTTTATCTAGCAGGCTTAGAGTGTGACATTTACTGGTCAAGCAGATGAAATGTTTGTTCTGTAGAATAAGCTTGAGTGAGCTTGACTGACTATCAACCTATTTTGAAGCTGTCAATGTAGAAACATGTGTTGCACACAAAAATAGGTTTTTAATTGTATACTCAATCTCCTGGTTCTTACTGTGACATTGATTGTCCCCCACTCAGCAGGAGTACATGAAATGTTTGCTTTTGGCCAACCACTAGTTAAAATAGATTCTAAAATGATATGCATTTTATCATGTTGTTGTCAGTAGGAACTAACAGCCAATATGTTACACAGGTTTTCTGTAAACATATCTGCTTGAAGCATTATTTTCTGTTTCTAGATATTCTATACTCTGGCCTTTTTAAATAATATTCATATTAAAGCTTGGATACATTTCTTTAAAATTATGGTAATGTGTGGACTAACCTAAAAATATTTACTTAGATAGCAAACCTTTTGAGGTTAATACAATGTAAATAAACTCTGTTCTGACCCATTTGTCTAGTCATCGCTATTTGGCAAAAGGCAAAGTCACTCAGATCTTTTTGATTGGCTATTTTTCCTATTTGCAATATGAAATTAAAGAATGGACTATTCACTGGCAGCCTAATATATCCCACCTCTTAATTGTCACAATCTCATTAATGTTATTCACTTAACCTGCCATGTTGTGACATATATATTTCAAGGGAAACTGCAGTCAGTGACTCAAGTTGTTATAATTGCCAAGGTGCTAATTCATCCAAGTCACATTCAACAATAAGAAACACTGACATTGGATAAGTATGTAATAACATTATGTATATATATATATATATATATATATATATATATATATATATAATATCACTCCAAGGCCTTGCTTATTATAAAAAAGTAAAACAACTTGTATTCAGGTTGTTGCCAATAAAAGGTTGACATTTTAGTCCTGAGGAAAGTTCATATTAGAATTTAAATGTCTGCCTTTTATTCGCAACAACCTGAATAAAACTTAAGTTTTACTTTTTTATCTTAAGCAAGACCTTGGAGTGCTATTATTTTTCACAAATATATAATTTTGCAGACAAGTACTGGGCCCTAATGACTATAGAAACTTGAGTGCAGACACATAGAAACTTTATTTATATATATATATATATATATATACCTAGGTAAATTAATAGGATCCACTTACAAGACAAAGCTATATACTGCTAAATATTTCGACTATGTGCTAACCTTATCCCCATGGATGTTTTTTTTCTCCTGGTACTGTACACCAGCTCAATATATATTTTCTTGCAATAGAGCACTAATCAAAAGATGTTCTTTTTTTTTTTTTTGTAAATCTCTTTTTATTGAGACATAAAAGTTTGTGGGTACAGAATGCAAGAAAGGGTACAATAAAATTCCATACAAAACGGGGGTATTACAATGCAGTGTACAACATCTCTAAACAATTATTAGCCTCATTTATTTTTTATTTTTTTTTAGAATTCACCATTGCAGGATTTTCGGTAAAGGAGAAACATAAGGCAGGAGAATATCAGAAATTTTAGCTTTAGGGAAATCGCTCATTACATCATAAGAGAATACGCGTAAAGCATTACACATACTTGTCCACTAACAGGTAACGTCTCAACATATCACCGTACGTGTGGACTGCTCAAAAGAGTGTTAGAGTTCCTGTCGTAATAGTGTGTGTCACAGGGTGTAAGGACAGAAAAGAGTTACAAGAGGGGGAGGAGGGGGGGGTGGGAAGAAGAGGGAGGGAAGGGATATCTAGAATTACACAGAGCATACACCAATAGGGTACATTAAAATAGAGTAGAATGTCCCCCTGAAATGAAGACCACCCCGCCTGACATATAGTGAGCTCATTGTCGCTTAGCTATGTACGCTCGGAGGGTAACCTCCGGCGTCGCTCGGATGTGTGTGTTGGGGTCTAACAAATCAACTAGCCATCCAGTGGTGATTGTTTAGAGATGCGGACAGAAGAGAGAGGGAATGAAGAGGTAACAGGGGTGCGTCCGTTGTACTGAGGGCGTGGGTGGAGGATTATGGCGTTGGGAAGCGCACATTGGCCTCGCCCCGGGACGCCTGGCACCCCCGCGTGCATCGCCGGTTCACCGTCCTAGCTCCGAGTGTTTTGTGATATGAAGACAAACCATGGAAACCACCGCTCGGCGTGTTTACCCCCTCTGTCCTGTAGGGATGCCTGTAGTGCTTCAGCCCCTTGGATATCCTCAACCCTGCGAATCCATTCTTCTTCACTGGGTATCTCCGTCCGTTTCCAGTATAACGGGATGAGCGACTTGGCCGCATTCAAAAGATGTCGAAGGATTGATTTTTTTATAGGAGGACAACAACATCTGTGATATATGTAGGAGGGCCAGAGCGGCTGACCAGTCCGTCATGTCACCCAGTATGTCTGTTATTCGTTGTCTGATCAGGTTCCAGAATGGGGTTATTTCGCTGCACTCCCACCGTATATGCATCATCGTCCCTCTACTCCTCTGGCATCTCCAGCATGTTGGAGCAACGGTTGGGAAAATCCTGTGTAGAAGGACCGGAGTCCTGTACCATGAGGCAATCAGTTTGTAGTTTGTTTCTTGATATTGAGAGCTGACCAAGCTCTTGTGTTGCCACAGAAGTGCCTTGTCCCATTGTTGTGGTGTGAAGGTTGTGTCCATCCGCTCCTCCCATTGCCTGCAAAACATTGCGTTCGCCGTCAGATGCCCCATCAGGAGGTGTTGATAAAGTATAGAAATAGCATTGTCCATTACGATCTTCCTCTCGCAGCAGTCCTCAAACCATGTGCGTGCCCTATGTAATCGTTCCTTGTCCCGCATATTATCGTGGTAATGCTTCACCTGTAAGTAACGGAGTATTGTCAATGGCGTCCGGGGTTGTCCCTCTAATAGGGCGTCTAGGGAACGTAGTGATCCATTCTGTAGGATTGTGTGAATTGGTATGTAGTCATGTCCTTCCACAAAAGGCCACATCGTTGGTGGAAATCCACCCCTATCTCTTTGTTGTGAGTGATGGAAAGCATCGGACTAGGTATAGGCGAGATGTGGGGTACCTCTCTCATGGAATTCCAGGTATATAGCGTTTGTTCCAGCAGTCCCTCCTTAGTGATTCGTAGTGCTTTTCTAGTTCCCCTTCCCCAGATGGCTGGTTGCACAGGAGTGTCAGGGTTGTCCCGTGTCAATGTCACCCATTGCTTTTGTTGAGGTTCTGCGTGCCACTCGATTATACGCTGCAGGACCGTGGCTTGGTGATACTTCCTGAAGTCAGGCAGTGCTAGGCCACCACGGTGCCTGGGGAGACAGAGTAGGTCATGTCGTAGTCTCGCCTTCTCCCCTTGCCATACGTATCTTATGACCGCAGATTTTAAAGCGGAAAAGAAGGTGGTTGGTAGGGCCAGTGGTATTGTTTGGAACGGATAAAGCAGCCGCGGTACGATGTTCATCTTTAGAACTGCTACCCGCCCATGCCACAAAATGTGTGGGTGCGCCCATCTTTTCAAGTCCATCGTTACTTTCTTCAGGAGAGGAGCAAAGTTGTGTCGGTATAGATCATTAGGGTTTGGGGCTATTCAGATCCCAAGATATTTCATTTTTTGAAAGCACCACCGGAATGTAAACAATGATTCCAGAGCCACATATTCACCCTCAGGCATAGATACATTTAGCACTTCGCATTTTGATAAGTTGAGCTTGAAGCCTGAGATCGAGCCAAATATCTCGAACTCCGACAGCAGGCAGGGCATCGCAATTCGAGGGCTCGTTTATAAAATAGGAGATCGTCCGCGTATGCGTCTACCTTATGTGTTGTGCCCAGACACGTGAAGCCACTAATGTCTGGATGCTGGCGTATCCTCTGAAGCAAGGGTTCCAACGAGATAGCAAAGAGTAACGGGGACAGAGGGCATCCTTGCCTCGTACTATTGGAGATCTCAAAATCTCCGGTGAGTGCTCCGTTGACTCGCACCGCGGCCCGCGGTTTATCGTACAGAGCCCGAATCATCGTGAGGAATCTGTGTCCCCGTCCAATCTGGCCAAGGGTGGCGAACATATATGGCCATTTCACACGGTCAAACGCCTTCTCAGCATCCGTGGAAATCAGGAGAAGGGGTTGCTGTGTTTTCCTCGTCTGGTGTTGTATCGCGAAGAGCTGAAGCGTGCTATCCCTCGCCTCCCATCCTGGTATGAATTCCGTTTGGTCCTTGTGTATGAGGGAGGGAAGAATGGATTGGAGCCTGGTAGCAAGCACTTTTGTAAAAAGTTTTGTGTCGACGTTCAACAATGAGATCAGACGATAGCTACCGCAGAGCTACGGATCTTTTCCGGGTTTAGGGAGAACAGTTATCGTAGCTGCTAGGGATTCGGCGCCGAAGCGACCCCCATCTGCGATCGCATTAAGGGCCTTTGTGAGCCACGGTAGGACTATTGATGAAAATGTTTTATAATAACCTGTGGAGAATCCGTCCGGGCCTGGTGCCTTCCCCCTCTTGGTTGTCTTTAGTGCCGCCGCCAATTCATCCTCCGTGACCTGGGTCTCTAGGTCGGTAGCTGTATCCGGCGGGATTGTTGGTCCGACTGTGTCGCGGAGGTAATCCCGCGTGCGGGCCATTATCATTGCCGATTGCGCCTGCGTTTTATCCGCATCCAAGTTGTACAGGGATCGATAGAACAACTGGAATTCCCCTGCAATATCCGTCGGTAGGCCAGAGATCCCGCCTGAGGTGAGGTGTAACCTGCGAACCTGAGTGCGGGGCGTCTGGCCCCTCAGTAGATGGGCAAGGAATCGTCCCCCCTTATTAGCATGGGTGTAAAAAAATGCTTTAGAGCGTTGCAAGGAGCGGTGGTGGCGTTTCATAAGGAGCTCCTTTAGCTGTCGCCTGGTTTGCATCAGATCCCGGTATGTCTCCATAAGGTGTGATCTTTTATGCTGGGTTTCCAGCTCTGTGATTCGTCTGTAGAGGTCAGCCATCTCCGTCATCGCTGCCTTTTTCTTACGTGTAGCTATGCGTATGAGCGTGCCCCGAAGGACTCTCTTGTGGGCTTCCCAAATCGATATCGGAGAGATGTCCGGAGATGCGTTATCTTGGAAATAGTGGGTCAGGGCTTGGGAAACTTGTTCCCGTGCGCCAGGGTCCAGGAGCAGAGTCTCGTTGAGTCTCCATGTCCACATGGAAGGTCGAAAAAGTGGAGACTCGAGTTCCATTACCACGGGGCCGTGATCTGACCACGTGGCGGGTTCTATCTTGGCCGATATCATTCGTGATAACCCCGCTTGTCTGATAAAGAGGTAGATCAAAAGATGTTCTATTACCTTAAGCAGGTAACAGCATAAAAGCTGAATTGATGATTCAGTAATCACACAGTATTTGTACTAAGATTTAATAAGTGCTTCTTTAAGGCTCCTTCATGTTTATCTTTTATAGTACTTTATTTAAACATGCTACACATGTTTGATTAAAGTGCACATTCAGAGTCCTCTACTCCTTTTGTACCAGAATGTCTCATTATTTATTCCACTGTCAGTAACAATAACCATGATTAATTAAAGTTCTCTGGATAAGAGTGTAACATCTGTTAAATATCTATCTATCTATCTATCTTATCACTAAGGTCTAAATGACGCTGTACCAAATGAGGCAAAACCATTTGTTTTCTATTGCGGCCGTGCATGTTGCAAAATCAAGACATTGTTAATGGAATTTAACAATTTCAAGAATTTGTAATTCAAGCCTCGAATGGGCCTAAATGGTACAAATTACAGCTGGACCAAAGTCTGCCTGATGGCTGAAATTCAGACTAAATGTGGGTCAGGAGGCTTGAAATCTGGGCGCGAATTAAAAAAAAAAATCTGAACTATTTGCCTGCTGGCAGCACTAAAAACTAAAAAACAAACAAACAAACCAAAATCCTTTGCAGAGCAAGGGTTAATAATGTGCAAAGCTACAAAGAAACAGCCATAAAATACCATATACAAAATTGATAAAAGCATTTTGACGGAGCATTTTAGTTATGAAGAAAGGATAACAATTTTAAATCTTTCCAGTTTGGAAAGACGGTGCCTCAGAGGGGATATGATAGCATTATGCAAATATATCTGGGGCCAATACAAATCATTGTCTGGAAATCTATCCATAAATAGAACTATGTAACTATGTAACTATGTAACTAAACATAGGACACAAGGTCACACATTTAGACTGGAAGAAAAGAGATTTAGTCTAAGGCAAAGGAAAAAAGTTTTTAAACAGTAAGGATGTGAACATATCTGCCTGCATAGGTTGTTTTATCAGAGTCTATACAGATGTTTAACCCCTTAAGGACACATGACATGTGTAACATTCCTTTTTATTCCAGAAGTTTGGTCCTTAAGGGGTTAAACAGCAATTCGATAAGTATTTGCAAAAACATAATATACAGGGTTATACATTTTAATAAGTGGGGTAATAGGTTCTTGATCCAAGGCGATAGCTGGCTACAATTCTGAGGTCAAGAAGGACATTTTTCCTTGTTTGTTGCACAATTGGAGGAGCTATAGGTTGTTTTTTGCCTTCTTTTGGATCAGCGAAAATCAAATGTGAGAAAGGTTGAACTTGATTAACTCTTGTCGATGTCTGTTTTCAGCTATGTAACTATGTAACTATAAATGAATATGATTTTAAATTCTGTACGTGACAGGAAAGATTGTGACGCTAATTGGTGTGTGTTTCTTTAAAGATCTCTGGGTGAAAACCCTACCTAAGCATCCTCACACCGGATTTCCAGTTCATGAATATTTTGTTTTTATGCTACATTTGATTTGTAATGCATGATTACTTTGTCTTTATGCAACAATTGAGTGCTCTCACTCTCCCTATCCAGTTTTTCTACATTGGGCCCTGTCACTCCCCGAGTTGACTCAACTTGGTTATCTGAAATCTGATGCTGCATTCCTCAAATCCATAATACCAGACTCTAACTCACTTCTCCCTCTTATTCTCCCCAACTAGAATGTAAGGCTCTGATTTACCAGATTCGGTTTAGTGGATTAACTTTTATCTGATTGCTGATTTTGGATAAGTCATTCTGGACAGACTCCCTGTTACCTGCTACTTATTGGAATTGCATTAGGATTACAATTTCATTTTAAAACATCACTGGATGGATTGCTCACTTTGAACTTTATTAGCAGAATACTATTTTCTCCCAACTGGATATAAGTTCCAGAACCTATTTGTATATATGTACATGGGCTTTCCTTTTTGATTCAGTTTTCCTAGTAAAGAGCTTATCTGACACACCTTTGTATTGGAATCTATCAGTGGGAAAAAAAATAACTTATCACCTAAATACTCAACTTTTTGGGTTGCTCCGATATATTATTTTGTTTTTTTCAAACCGTGACTCTCCTGTGGAAAATAAAGAAACAAGTTAGTCCTGTAACATGTATTGCTATTTCCAGTATATATTGTTACTTTATAACCAGATTCCTAATACAGGTCCACATCAGAAGTGTGTGAATCTTGACACTTTCTGTCTCTGTCTGTCTGTCTGTCTATCTATCCATCTATGACATATGTAACTGTATTACACTTCTACTTAAATTTAGTGTGTGTAGGATGTATCATCATGCCATAAAATGAACTTTGCAAACCAGTATAAAAGTTGCCTGCTATCTGCTTTTATGTGCTCTGACAAAATCAATCTGAACAAATGAAAAGAGGAAATTGATCTGTTATACTCATTTATATCTTTCCTATCATTGGACGTGTTGAACACTTTCATGCTACTGAAAATCGCTAACTGCAAAATATATGAGAATAGCTAAAATTACAAAGCTTCTTTCCACCTAAGTTGTAAATCTTAGAGAGAGTGAAAAAATATAAAAAGGGACACAAAGAGAGAGAATGTAGGAATTGTTGTGGTATAATAGGCATTTTGTTAGAAATTTTACATAAAAAATACATTTCCGAATATATCATTAAAATAAAATAACAAAAAGGTTTTCTCTGAGAAATAAGCAATAGTTCAATCTATATTCATGTTAGCAAGATTATCACATGAGGTTAATACAATCTAGAATTCTTTCACTAACAAATTATTTTAAAAATACTTAGCTTGCATTTTAGGAGACATCTGAGGATCTTATATGGTTATCTTTCTTAGTACACAGTCCAATCAGTCCAATCGCTGGTGAATGGTTACAGAACAATCGCATTCGAGTATGTTTTGCTCTAGGGTGTCAGAAAGAAACCTAACAGGGCCAAATGCATCACATTATTTGTTGGAGGGGTTTTTATGAATATTATTCAGAGTTGAGAGCAAAACTCACAAATTGTGCATGGAGTTGATAACACACATTTTTGGACTGGTCAACACTATTACTACTCATAACTGAATGCTGACAACCCAAAGCCTCTGACCTTGTGCAGTTAATGACAGCTAAATTTCTATACATCCTATTGAAACAAAATAAAATCTTGCTCCAACCCTGTCACTATGTCAGCTGCTACTTGCCTGTTATTCAATTGTGTGTTTTTGTGCTTTTCTAGCAAGATGCTAATATGCTAGTGGTGGTTAACTGTAGCAGCAGACATCATTAGAGGCAAGCTATAAAAATTTACCAACAAGGCTATAAACCTACAAGCTACCAGCTCTTGTTAATAATTACAGTTTATGGCAGTTTTGGGATCATTAGGAATTCCACTATGACGTGGGCCAATAGAAATTAAGTACTACCTATATATACTTACCTCTCCCACGCATTCCTTGTGTATCCTTTCTCTGGTATTTAATATTGACTGTTTATACTTTTCTCCTGATCTATATACTCCTTAAATGTTTATTCATATAAACAGGTAAGAAGAGGGGGTAGCACCTTGATGTACCTTGATTTCTTGAGGTAGAGGTGTTTTCAGAGGTAGTAGAATATGTGGATACAGAAAATATAGAAAATCATAATGTAGTATATCCCATGACAATTAAAATTAAGAAATAAAAGAATTGGACGCTAGGATAGCTCTATCAAGATAAGCTTGGGCGGCATAAACCCTGCCTAATGATATACCCAGGACATACTTGAAAACAAGAGAAATCTCAATGTATTTCCTGGTAAAATATTTTAAAAATAAATATGTGGTGTCTTCTTATGTTAAAGTGCTATAGTGCAAAGAACCTTCAATTATAAACAGTAGGTCTGGATGATATTATCCCCACCTAATGGGCTCACTGGCTTGTTTGTAAGTAGGTCATATATCCAAAACACAAAATAAAATATACAGTGCTCACTGATACAAATATATGTTTGATAAAAAATATTAAAGGTACTCACAAGTATGGAGCAAATTAGGGTATTGCTCACTACACAGTGCTCAAGTGGTATTTTCACCACCAAAGGAATATGTGGTCCCAGGCTCCACAAACAATCAAGGTGAAGTACAATAAAGTTTAAAATATTAACTACTTTATTATATTTGCTAGTTTATAAAACAATAAAAACAATATAAAATAATAAGATACACTTAACGCGTGTCGCATATCCAATGGCTTTTTTCAAGTGTTACATACTATAAGATTTATAGGGTACAAATTTTGAATATCTCCTGTCCTTGACCTCGGCATTCTACTTGACACTGTCTAGCACAGCTACTCGGGTACACGGAATATCTATTTGTTGTTAAATTGGTCTGTACATTTAGGTTCCTCTATGATCCCGACAGGCAGTTACTTACCAGCAATGTTTGAAAGAAGCCCTAATTTGGACTGGTAGTGTTTCCATGCATTTTGGAACTTATCTTTGTATAGCATCTAATAGGTACTTTAAGATATATTTATTAGCTTTAATTTTGTTTTAATTATTCTCTACTGTACAGTTCAAAT